TGCGGCAGGCGGCTGACGGTGCTGGCAGCAAAGACAGCGTAAGAGGCCAGTGGTGTGGGGCTGAGGTGTGACATTCAGCCAGGGGAAGAGCTCACCCCCCCATGCCCTGACATCTCCAGCTACCACAGCCTTTTTTATCAGGTTCTGTCTTAGCACAGACCCCATGATGTCAGGGTCTCACCTCACCCCCCTCTCTCTGTTCCTCAGTGCACAAAAACCTGCGGAATCGGCGTGAGGATGCGGGATGTGAAGTGCTACCAAGGGAAGGACATCGTCCGGGGTTGTGACCCTCTGGTGAAGCCGGTGGGCAAACAGACCTGTGACCTGCAGCCCTGCCCCACGGAGCCCCCAGGTGAGCCCCACCACCAGTAGCACCCCCAACTTTGATTTTCCACTGATCCCTCAAGCAGCACTGCCTAGCATCTTTGCTTTGACCAGCCCCCAGTTTGATAGTCATCCCAGGAAGGATGTAAAGGGGACAGCTCTCCCTCTGTGCCCAAGGAATGGGCCACCATACACTGGCTATTTCTGGAGGTAACCCCGTTAAATTAAGGGAAGACTTCCAAAGCAGCATGCTCTGACCTTGATAAAAGGGAACTTTGGAGACCTGACTCAGGTGCTGCTTCTGTGTGATTCCAGCTAATGTCTAGGAAGTTTTGTCTGTGCCATTATTTTAATGATTTTTTGGTCTCCAAATGTCCTGTGGGATTTGTAACTATCTCGTTATCTGATTCATCTGCTGGCTCAAAGCCCCTGTGATCTTTAACGAGCATGCGGATCTAATTCTTTAATAGGATTTGGGAATAAGGATGGTGTGGGAGAAAAGCATTAAAATGGGAGACAGATTTTGGGCTGGCTCTTGGCTCAGCTCCTGCACTGCTTGGGTGCTCTTGGCTGACAGCTCCGTAGGGTCCAGGACGTGGCACCATGCTTGTGAGGTGCCTTGGGGACCCCTTGTAGCAAGCTGCCTGCCCTAGAAGCAGCCTGCTTTCATGCATCCTATGGATTTTAAGAAAAAAAAAAAAAAATATATATATATATAACTCTAAATCCTATGGGTTTGAAGCAAAATATTGCTCCCAAGGGAGCTGGGAGAGTGTTGAAGCAGTCTCTGGTCTTGGCTTGGGGCAGCTCAGTGCCAGTCCTCCCTTGGTGGCTCCAGCAATCCCGGGGCAGCTCTGTTTCAGGGGGAAAAGCTCGAGCTTCAGGGCTGGGACCAAATGAGACTCCCCAAGCCAGGTGTGAAGAAATGGGTCGACCTTCTTGTGCCTTTGCTTAGGTTGGCAATGATATTTATGGAGAAGCTCTATGGTGTTTTCTAGGGGATGCTCTGCCAGATATGGCCTCAAGTTGTGCCAAGGGCAGTTGAGATTGGATGTGGGGAAGAATTTCTTTCCTGAAAGGGTTCTTACTTGTCAGTGTTGGGTTCATGATTGGACTCGATGATCTTAAAGGTCTTTTCCAATCGAGGCCATTCTGAGATTCTGTGATATCAGGGAGGTGACAGTCGCAGACAGGTGATCTGTTGCACAGCCTGTGATGTTTAGGGCTGGCTGTGCACATGGGAAAAACGAGCTCATGAACTTGCAACAGTTTATTTTTAATTTTCCATATCGATTCCTTTTCCTTTCTCTCCCCAAGACGACAGCTGCCAGGACCAGGCAGGAACCAACTGCGCTTTGGCCATCAAAGTCAACTTGTGCAGCCACTGGTACTACAGCAAAGCCTGCTGCCGCTCCTGCCGCGCACCCCACTCCTAGTGCCCGGCAGCACCCGCCGCCTCCCATAGCGAGGGCTCTGTATACCATTTAGTAAGCGCTACACATCCCACAGAGTGGTGTTAAGGATGCTTTTGGATTTTTATTTTTTTTTTTCTTTCCCTCACCGATGCAGAACTGCTATCCTTGTCCCTCTCCCAGATAGAGGAACAGTGCTGGCACGGCTCGGTCGCAAAGCCGTTACCGCTGTACATTGGTAGCCCCCGTTATCAGAGCTGTATATAGAGTCGTGTATATTTGATTCCCCCAAACTGCAGATGCATGCACGTGTTCCACAAGATCCTGTCCTTTGGTTTCTTTCCTTTATGCAAGTTTGGGGTTGACGAGGGGAAGGCGTGAACTCTGTCAAATACAAGTTTCCCTTTGCAAAGGGGGTTAGTTAATTTAGCCCCAACACCTGCGTGCTCTTGTTAGCTGCGTTTAACCTGGTGGGAAGCTGATTTTTGTTTGCTAAATGAACTCAAGCCCAAGCCCTTTTTTTGTAATATGTAGGTGTATACTTTTTCAGAGGATTTTATCTTATAATCGAATGTTAGTTCCATAGTCCTTACAACCTCCCCCATAATGCTGACATATTGTATATAACATGGAAACATAACTGCACTTTATATTACAAGAAAAAGACATTCTCTTTTTTAATATATTTGTTTACAGACAGTGAACTTTATCCATATAATCATTAATTTGTACTCATATGTATATTTCAATAAAGTTGTCATATTTATGGTGGTATCTTGTTTTATTCTCATTTGTAGTGGGTGTTCTGTATGCTGGGAACACTGGTGTCAGGGCTACCAAGATGCTGGTGCCTGGGGTGGGCAGCAGAGCAGCTCTAAGTCAGGGAACTATGGCTGCTCAGACAGTGACCCAAGGAAAGGTCCTGGCAGTGGGGGAGCTGGGGATTTTGGGATGGGATCTCTGGGATTATGCGTGTGCCTTTAGGAAATGTAACCCTGAAGCTTCTCAGGGGTTTGCAAGGAAAGAGGTTTGATACAGTGCCAGCAAGAAAAGGGCCTTTCCATGCTCCAAAGGGTGGTTATTGCTCTGTGTTTCTGTGGGTATGACTCACCAAAGCTGGACCAGAGGCTCTTTAACATCCCCCTACTTCTGTGTGCACCCCAGTTCTGGCTGCATTGCTCCCCTCAGCAGTAGAGATCTCCTGCACCCAGGTGAAAGCTTTGCAAACCATGCCCTGTGTTTGAAGATGTAGAGACAAAAAGATCAGCCTTAAAACCCATGTCAAAGTAGTTTATTTCTTTTTTTTCTTTTTTTTTTTTTCCCCCCACCCTCTGTTATTCCCCAAGTCCTGTACAACAGATCACCAGGAGAAGGTTAGTGTAAGCCAACCGTTTGCTTAGTTTCCAAGCTACATGGGAAGGAAAAATTAAAAAAAAAAGAAGGGAAGGCTGGCAAGAGAATTACAGTCACAAGAGATAAAAAGAGGAGGGCTCAACACATGGAAACAAACCCCGGTGAGAACTGTACAGAGGAGCGTGGCCGCAGTGGCTGCTGCCCCCTCAGAGCAGAGTCATCGTCCTGCTCCTGGGACACTGCAACGCAGGGACCAAGCTCAGAATATTAAACATGTACGAAACCAAACCCAGCCTCCCCCCCACCCCAAACAGAACCCCCCCAACCCCAAGAGAGTCAAAGATACCAATTTGCAAAGACTGACTTGTACTGCAAAAGATTTCCTGTGGAATTAAAAGCCCTCGCAGTTAAAAGTAAAATATCCAGGTTGTGAGCCGATGGGGGCTGAAGAAACGGCTTTTTTCTTCCCACCACATCTTTAAAAAGCAAAGCTGACCCAGAGCACAGCGCTGGGGCCATCGAGTCTCTTTGCAGCCAGTCCATCCCACCGAGCTCAGCGCCGGGCTTTTACCCTGAATAATGCACAATCCAGGAGCAAAAGGGTATTTTGTCAGACAAACTGTGAGTATTGCAAGGTTGGAGGGGAGGAATGGAGACAGTCAGGAGAAACCAGAGCACGAGTCCCCACACAGGCACCGCTGCAGCGTGCGATTCCTCCTCCCAAACGCTGAATTAACCAAACGGCTCCTTTCCAGGATATTTAGTGCAGATGGACATGCTGGGTGCCTGGCTCCATGTCTGCTGCTCTGCCAGCACAGCCCTGGCTGGATCCAGCACAGTCAGAGGAGCTGGGGCAGAGCTGGTGCCACAGCCCTGGCCAGGTTGCCTGGCCATGGGAAATGGTTCAATTAAAAACGTGAAAGAGGTGGCTTTGCCTAAATCTCAAGTGTTTTGACACATTGCTGGATGGGGAGAAAGTGTCACAGCTTTTTTTTTTTTTTTTTCTAAATAAAAAAAAAATACTGAATGCAGGTAAAAATGTGCATGCAGGGGGGGTGGGCACATACATGGCCACGCTCTTGCTTGCCCAGCCCTCCAAGAGAAGTCATGTATGGCATTATTTGGAACAGGGATGCTTATTATTCAGAGGAGGCGGCTACAGGCATACAGCCAGTTAATACAATAGGTCTGCAAAACACCCCAGCCCAGCTCCATTGGGGGAACCATGGGGCTTCTCTGGGGGCTCCAGGGACAGGCTGTGCACCCACTGGCCCTCCTAACCCTGAGGGGATCACGTCTGTCACCCTGCAATAAATGACCAGCTTGAGGCGCAAGATGGCCATGGGGTGTGCACACTAAGGCCAGGAGCACTCGTGTCCCCATGCCACGGCCCCCGCTGCCCACTGACTTGCAGCACGAACCATTTTGCAGCTAACCCTGTACCCCATTACTTGCTGGTCATCACTCGGCGCTCCAGCTGAATGGCGAGGAGGGGACATTTACTCTGTATAAAAGGATGCACAATATCAAAATCCTCTTTACAAAAGAAAAAAAACCAAACAACCCCACAACGCAGCACTAGAAAACCCTGTGTCCCAACTGCAACCGTCCTCCCTCATGCTCCTCTTTTGGGTTTGTTCTTTTGCTACCCCTTTCTATGGTTATTCAGCATGTCTCTACCTACAGAACGTAGAAATACATTCATTTTCTTTTTCAAAACTCTTCTATGAATTTCAAAAAGTTCTCCCCGCTGTTAAAAGCTCCAGCAGCAGTGGTGAGGTGTGATGTGATGCTCTGGACTGGGCGGGCAGCCATCACCTCACACATCGGTGCTTATGCTGCGACTGCGGGAGAAAGCTTCCCGCATGGCCGAGAGCCGGTTGGGGTTGAGCGCTTGCAGGTTGGCCATGCTCACTGGAAGGTCAAGATCTTCCTGGCTCACTGTCTTGTAGCTTACCCGGTCACCCCCGTTGTGCAGCTCCTCAGGGGGCTCTTGCAGAAAGAAGGTGGGGGGCTCGTACGGAGTGCAGCTGGGGCAGCCGGGCCGGCTCGGTGTTGGTTTCTTGCCGAAAGGTGACGAGGTGTAGAGGGACGGGCCGTTGGTCAGCACTACGTTGCGGTTGCAGTGGAGCGGCGGGATGTGGGAGTGCACGGCAAAGTCAGGCTCCTCCTCATCCTCCTCAGACTCATCCTTCTTGCAGCAGTAGTACTGAAACGGGATGGCCCCATGGGGCCAGGGCTCAGCTGGCATCCCAAACCACCCGCCTCGTCACCGAGGGGCTGCTCCCCCAACCTAGGGGACACTGGGCTGCCCGCAGGGTCCCCTTCCCATCACAGCACCCTTAGGGGCTGCGTTGCCCTCCCCGCCCCAGCCTTACCTGGAGTCTACAGTAGCAGAGGACAGCGATGATACAAAGCAAAATGACAGTCGCTAATATTCCACCTGTGATGACCACAGTCCCGGCTGTCATCCGCCCTCTTCTCCATTAACAGCCTGCAAAAGTGAGTGCACAGGGTGATGGGGTGTGGTGGGGGCCGGGGTGAGGCTGGTGCTGGGCAGCAGGTTCCCAAACCCTCAACTCACCCCTGTTTGCAGGGAGCTAGAAACTGGTAGGGCTCTGCGGGAGATGATGGGCAGGATCAGGCCAGATCCTGGCATGGGCACCTGTGGAAGCCACCAAGGAGTGCCCATCCCTCCCTTAAATGCCACCATGCAGGTGAAGTGGGATAAAAAAATGCTTCATGCAGTGGGTTAGAGATGTAGTGAGCAGCAGCTCTGGGGTCATGCTGGGCTGTTCTGCATGTGGGAGGGGGGACCCAAGGGAAACAAAAGTTTCTGCCCAGTGCCTGTGGCACTCAGAGCACCCTCTTGGCTCCTGCCTGGTGTCTGAGAGCTTCAGTGATGGGAGAAGGAGCTTTGCAGTAAGGATTTCTGAGCTTCACAGATTTTTCTCTGAGCCTATAATCCATTTACCTCATGAAAACAATGTGGTATTTTAATCTGGAATAACTGGAGCTGCTAAGTGTGCCTTTAACGACTGCAGGGACAGGCACTCTCCCCTCCCTGAGCAGCAAGCAGGAGTATGGGATGTGTCTGCCCACATCGGGCAACACCAAGCTCCTCACCTTCACCATGGCTGAGCCACAGCGTTGGGGGCTGTGGGACACCCCAGGACAATGCTTCCAACAGCCTCGGGTGAGCTGTTCATTCCCACCACAGCAAACATTGCCACTGGGACCAAGCATCCTGGACATCACAGAGATGCTGTGGCTCAGATTTGTCCCACACTTGTGTTTTTGGGTACCACCAGCATCCTACTCTCCCCAGCATGTCCCTTAAAGGAACCTGAGTGCTGACACTGAACTGGTAGCAGTGGGAGGTCCCTGCTTCTGGCGCTGCTAGGCTCACCCAGAAGGCAGACGTTGAGCATCAAGCACAAGGCACAAGCTCTGCGACACCAGCACAAGTCTTGCTCTGAGCATCCCTGCCCTGAGAGCTCATGGGGTGGCTTGACCTTCCCTCCAGCCCACGCAAAATAAGCCCAAGCTCTTTGCCACAAAAAGGGGCTGGGGTGACACATACCTGCCCGCACACACCTGCCAGCAGCTCTGCAGAGAGTGGCACCATCACCACCATCACTCTGCAGCTAAAGCCTCAGCAGCCCTTTAGTGCTGCAAGCATCAGGCTGGGAGCAGAACAAATATAAATTATGAGAGAAATCGTACCCTGACCACCTACTTTACAAGTGCTTTAACAAAGCTGGCCTCCAGCTCACACTATCAGGTTAAAACAAAAAAAACCAGCCACCCCAGCCCCAAATTACTTCAGCACCCGAGGAAAAGCAACTGTATCTGTCAGGGATTTAACCCGCTTCCAAAGAAAATAAATCTGTGGCATATTTTCAGGCGCTTAATGTCCTGCTAAAGTTGGGCAAGTGCTGAATGGCTAAAGCAGTATCACATTTTATGTTGCTGCTGAGCAGTGCTCTAGGAGGGAAAGTAATTTATAACGATGTCTGAACACCTTCTCGCACCGCGCAGCCATGGGGCAAGCGCCGGGCCAAAATCTTGCTCTTGTTCCTTGAGCAAAATACTCTGAGGCGGCTCGAGGAAGAGGAGCAGACTCAGGGGAAAGTTTTGCAAAAAAAAATGCATTAGTGCATTAGTGCACCCCTCCCACGCAGCCCAGAGAGGGGTGTGCAAGGACCTGGCTTGGGGGTGGCCAGGCTCAGCCCTGCAGCTCCTCAGGGATGGGCGCTGCACCCATCAGAGAGGATCAGCATCTTAGCAAGCTCCTTGCCAGCCCAAGAGGAAAGGTGGCAGGCAGGGCCCAGGCAGGGAGGGCAACCCAGCTTCCTCACTTGTAAATTAAACAGCCACCTAACCCAGTGGGACAGCAAGGGTGACACAGAGCCAATTTTCACAGTTTCTGTCCAGCCATGGTCAGCCAGACGTGGTATCACAGCCACCGCTCCATCCAGAACAAGACCATTTGCATTTTGCTCTTTTTTCCTCCCCTAACATATTTGTCTGATTAAAGCTGCGTACCTGGAAGCGTTAAACTCTCCAGTGTGCAAAGGGGGAGGAAAGCAGAGCATGTGGAGGCCCATAAGCAGAACAATTCCTGTCTAGACCTCCGTTATACATTTGTTCCTAATTTCACACTCCACAGGCTCCCAGATTCATATATTTAGTAATAAATATCCTGGTAAAAGGAAGGACTTTGCAGCTCCACTGTGGTCTTGGAGAAAGCATGCAGGAGCCCTGGTATTAGGAACGCAGGTACCGAGAGACACGGTCCCAGCAGACAGTTGCTGGGCTCTTTTCTCACCCCTCAAGCTAATGAGGATGCCTGACCCCCCCAGCCCCTCTGCCCGTCCAAATCCAGCCCCCAGCACATCCTCCATCTCTGCCAGACAGCAGAGAAGGGGCTGTGGGGGGATGTTAACTCCAAACAGGCTGTTTGCCCACAGCCCAGGAGCCCTTTGTGATAGGAAAGTTGCTCCCAGAGCCATGGGGGTGACAGGGGATGGTGCCTCTTGAGGTCACTGCAGGCAGACGGGAGGTTGGGTGCAATGCTCCCCCCTTCCCAGGCACCCTGCTTTACTTTTCCAGCACACAAAAGACAGGTTGTACTGCAACAAACCAAAGACATATCACTCTCTGGTGGCTACAGGCTGCTCCTGATGAGCTGTGTGGTTTTCACAGAATCCCAGAATGGCCTCAATTGGAAAAGCCCTTTAAGATCATGGAGTCCAATCATTCACCCAACACTGACAAGTCTCCAACTAAACCACATCCCTCAGCACTATGTCTACACGACTCTTCAATCCCTCCAGGGATGGGGACTCCAACCACTGCCGTAGGCAACACCTTCCAATGCCTCAGAACCCTTTCAGCAAAGAAATTCTTCCTCACATCCAATCTCAACTGCCCTTGGCTATGGTGGCACTATCCCTGCAGCAGCTGGGAAGTTCCAGGGTGCAAGAAGATGGCCTTTACCATTCCTTGCAGCCTAGAAAACACACAAGCAGAGCTTCCATCACCTCCAGCCCTGGACCAGCAGCTCCATGCCTCACTTCTGCCATTGTTAAGGATGTGGGCTTTCAGGTCACATTGCTCAACAGGAGACAGGTCTGTGTCAGCCTCTGCTCCCCACTTCGCTTGGGCATTGCCACAAGGGACTGATGGACCTTCCCAACATGCTTGCAACCCAAGCCAGGGGGCCAGAGGGGGGTCGGGAGAAGCTTCCCATGAGCAACAGAGAAGGGGACTGCACTGAATTGCACTCAACAAGGCAGAAAGGAGAAGGAGGGGATGAGAAATCATCCCAAGTCACCCCACATTGCCCCCCAGCATCTTCAATGTGGCCCCTGGACCACCAAGGGTGCCCAGTGTGGGGAGAGGCTGCTCACAGCTGCACCTTGCTCCTAGGCTGAGACTGGCTGTGCAACTAGTGCCTCTCTGGAGCCTGCATGGGAGGAAGGCTTCAGAGCAGCTGGCAAGGCTGAGGTCAGCCCATCCCAGGACTCCAGCTAACACCCAGCTAACCATGGCTCTGAAATGCTGAGCTCCAGGTGCTGGAGCACTCCAGCCATGGCTAGGTCCTGTGGACTGGCCTGAACCTGCCTGCTAAAGCTGTGGGAGAAGGAGACCTGGGGACTGCTAAGGAGACCACTCCAAAGTTTCTTTAAGAGACCCTCAAGTGCCCAGTTAAGCCAGCTTCTAGGATATGCAGGTGTTAAGAAAAATCTTCAGGCTAGACCTTTAAATGAATGGGGCTTTCACCCACCCCATCCCATCCCATGCCTACTCCCATCACCATGGCAATACAGTCACCCCAAAGCCTTTTGCACTAGCTAGAAGTGCCGTCATGCCAATAACCAAAAAAAGGAAACCTGGTCCCCCTGAAACTGTGCCTGCACAAAGAGACCATGTCTTACCTGCAAAGAGCTGCAGCCCACAGTTTGTCCCACTGTGGCACTGCCTGCATACCCCAGCAGCCCTGGAACCTACTTCCTCTGCAGCCAGAAGCAGCACAGCCCTCTATTTAACAAGGAAGTTGGGAATTTCTCTGATTCACCTGACTCCAGAGGCTGGAGATTTAAACAAAATAGTCAAACAAGGTACAAAACAACACCTGGCAGCACAGACGTGAGTGCTGGTAGAATTGCTCACACCTGGTACCCCAGCACGGGAACAGGCAGGAGCTTGGACTCCAACTATAATAAACACACAGGAATAAACACACAGCCAGAAACACCCCACGCTCGAGGGACACTTGGCTCAAACCTTTTGCATGAGACCTCTGGCTTCTGTCCCAGCCGTTCTGCTGATCACTATGGTGGTCTTGTGTGAAGAAGGGAGTGGGAATCAGCTCTGTCCTGAGCTTCCAAATGGCCAAGATGGAAAAAGGAGAGAAAGAAGGAAAAAAAAATCCTACCCCACCCTTCCCAGGGCGCGGAGGAGGCCAGCACCATGTCCTGAAGTAACACCATCTTGGCGCTGCTCTGCACTAGTGCATCCCTGGCAGTGCTGTCTGCTTGGATGAATTGTTTCTGCACCAAGCCCTGCTGCCGTGTGTCCTCCCCCACCCGAGAAGGGCCTCTGAGGGGGGAGTGACCTTGCACATCAGCACAGCCCCCCGGGCAGGGTCCCCATGCTGCCGGCACTGACCCTCCTCTGAGCATCACGAGCAACAGCTGGTGGTGGGTCAGCTTGTTTGGGTCCCTCTGGGGAGAAGACCCAAGGGAGGGACCTCAACTGGGAGGACGTTCAGGTTGGGAAGATTAAGTCCTATGTGGAAACTGGGGGTTAAGCAGCTGTGTATGAGGGGAGCACAAGTCTGACTCTCTGTGGTGGGTTCTGTGGGTCTTGTCCTGAGTGGGCAATGAGGCCATTTCCCAGCTCATCCATGCACAACGAACCCTGATGCTCATACTTCTGACCAAGCCACACTCCAGAGGAAAGGAAAAGAGCTCAGCAACAGGCCAG